GGGGCCGGGGGGGGGGGGCCGCCAGCCGTAGCCACCGAAGCCCCAGTAGCCGGGGAGGCAGTGGTCGCAGCGGGGCCCCGCCACGCCGGGCTTGCAGGGGCAGTCGCCGGTGCTGGGGTCGCAGAAGGTGTGGGGGCCCAGGGGGAGCGCGGCCGATCCCAGGGGGTGGCAGGAGCAGGCTGCGGGGGACACCGCGGGGGAAGAGAGAGCATCTGTGAGTGCAAAAGCTCTGTGGGACAAAGGCGCAGGAGATGCCTGCAAAACCGCCGCTCTGCCTAGGGACAATGATGTTTCTGGGCTTTTTTTTCCTCTTGCCAGTATAAATCTGACCAGAATCTCCCTTTAGAAACCGTATGTCTTTAATTTTTGTGAGGTATCTTAATTAGTCAACCTACCCTGGTTTCACGTTATATTTAGCCAAACAAGCCTTTACTACTTTTCTTATAGCATCTGGACTCCAGTCCAGCCAAGTACCCAGGGATGTGCCTGGCTCACAATCATGTTTAAGCAGCTGTGGGTGCTTCGTTGCAAAAATGAATCAGAGCATAATTGCTTTCTGAAGTAATAACAACTGTCTTGCATCCAGGAGGTTAAAAAACCCCTTCAGAACAGTCATTTTAATTAAAGTGGAGGCTGAGCAAAAAGTACCCCTCTGTCTCTGTCTGATTTTCTTTTAAAGCCATCACTTCAAAACATTAAAAAAAAACAGAATGAGGACACTGACGGCTTAGAGATATACTTTTGCATATACTCCAGGACATGGGTTTGCAGAGTGCATGTCAGAAACTCCGGCTGCTCTTTCTTCCTCCCCCACAGCCCCCTGCAGCAGAACAACGCACTGAAAGCTTACTGGGACGCGCTGGGAGAAATGGCCATTCTCGCAAATCGGAAAGGATGCCCTAAAATAGGTGAAGCTTTCCTTGCCTACTTCTTAGCATTTTTCTTTTGCATAAATGTAATTTGTGTCTCTTGCAAGACTACAATCTTTTTTTGCCCCAAAGATGTTAATCTTTTCAAAGACCAGAAATACAGTTATCAAAAGTGTGAGCCAAGCCTCTGATCATTTGGCCTGGCCCGCAGGCAACGTGGTGCCCCACAGGACCAATAGCTGGGTGACTCGCGCTCTCCTTCCCTCACGGTTTGGTTCTCTGACCAGGATGTGTTACGGTCAACCTTGTGCATTATGGCAAAAAATTCCCTGCTGAAAGACTGTCGTCTAAAACTCAATTGACATAAAAATCAGATTTCCTGAGAAAACTTCATTTGGAGGGGAAATTTGCACCAAATTCCAATTAAAATATTTTTATTTTGCAACTGTGAAGGCAATAAAGCAGAAAAGCCACTCCATGCAACACAAACTTTCTTTCTCTTAAAATACTTATTGCTGCACACATATATTTAATTTTGCTCTGACAACATTTTTGTGGTTTCAGGGATTTGACATACCTGGAGTGTCGTTTCCAAATATTAAAGGATAGATTAATATTGGCGGTTAACTTAGAGGCGACTACGATGCCAAAATCTTTGCCAAAGTAATCCCCAAATTTTCCCCACCCTTTCCATTCCCAAACAAATATAATTATATAAAATTAAAAGATTAAAAAGCCTCTCTGCAAGCTGCATAACTAGCTGCAGGCAGTGAACTCCGGTACCTTTAATAGCATAGTTTTCAACAGCACTCACTGAGACTTGCATACCTTTCTCCTGAAGTCTGTGAAGTGTTTTACACCTGACACATGTAGCCAAATGCACTCTTTTCCTACTAGATGTGGTGGGTATTTCTGGCATTCCTCAGCCCCTTCAGGGGAAATATCAAGCACTTAAAGCTCTTCTATTCTCCTGCAGTCAGTGAGCTAAACCCACTGCTCAGAGAGAGATTTGGTCCTGTTTCGGTTGGGTTTCAGCTGAGTTTTACAACCAACCCTGTTGGGGTTGAAGCTTTTTATGGTTTAGACAATGCTTTTGCACAATTTTTTTCCTAATGGAAAATATAATGGCAGTGACAACACCATGGTGAGGCAAGAATATTAAATTTACAAAGGCTGTTACAAAAAATACAGCAGCAAGCTCACAGGCAATTAAAATGGCAATTCAAAACAAGAATGTAGTTGGCTATATTTTTTAATAAAAGCTGCAAAGAGATGTGTTGTAAAGGTTGGTAATTTCTACCAGGGCTGTGGACCCACCTCCATGGACCCTGTCCTTCCTAGCTGCTCCCCTATGAGCTCCCAAGGCACCGACCTGCTTTCTGTTAGCAGCTGGCAAATTGAAGCTTTTTGGTCTTGCATCTTGGGTGCAGGCACAAGATGACACTAAGTGGTGTTAATCTGGATGCTTTGGGTGGCAAATTTACAAGACGGTAAACATTTGTGATATGCTGCATTGGGAATGTGCTGAGCAATGCAGAGGCATAAAATGCAGCCCATCACTACACACCGAGCACAGGAATGATACTCTAGAGCTCAAATGTGAGCACGTTGTACCAACTTTGAAAGAAATGCCTGAAAATAGGACCAAGTGCTTTCATACTATGGCAATGGCAGGAAGAAAAGGACTGCAGGACTGATTATACAGCATTTGGCAGCTGCAGCTACTGCTCCCTCATGGGCAGCTGCGCTGAGTGTTGGTTTTAGACCCTGTTTTCCTCCTTCCACCCCATCTGCACCTCACTGTAGCACAGGTAGTCAGAGACCCACCTCCAGAAAGGTGAGAGGAACAGCCGAGTAGCAGGTAAAGCAGCTACAGAGAGTGCTGGATGGCACTTCGTGGTGGATACATGGGAGCAGAGCGTGAGACTCTCAGTGCGAGGCTTCGGGACAGTGCCTGTCTCATGTGCGGCGGCCACCCCACCGGGGAGGCTGGGGGGTTTCCACGGCCAAGAGAGCTCCAGTGAGAGAAGGGCTGGCTGGGCACCACTAGCCTGGGACCAAGAGAAACCTTCCACAATCTTGATCTTTTTGCTTTCTTTTTGACTTGTAAGCAGCCAATTTACCACCCTGTACTACATAGTAATATTTTGCATGTGACTTCCATGCACATATGAATTAACAGCCATCTGTCCCGGCGTCGCGTGTGCTGATTGGGATCGAAACTCAGTGAGTGGGACTCCAGCAGAGCTGGATTTCCCCGCCCTGGATTGGTGATACCGTTGTGGTTTCTTCAGCTGTCAGCTAACCTTTGGAAATGACAAATATTTACCCTCAAAAACCTACAGTTGAAAACCAAAAATAAACTCGGCAATTATAAAACCCGATTTATTGTCTGCAGTTATACTGCAGCTGAGGCTTAAAAATTCATGAGGGATGTAAAGAAAAGGACCGATAGGTATGGCGGGGGGGGGGAGATACGTCTCATTTTATCAGGTACACACCTACTCCTGAGCAAATATTATATACCCTCTTCACCTGTAAGAATCTTTAAAGTATCCTTAAAGATTATGGCTTAACAACTCCTTTATTTACTTCGATCTTGGTATTTTTAAATTTTCAGTGCTACCCCGTGGTTGAGCAATAATGGTGCCTTGAGCCAGAAGCAAGCAGGCAATGCCGTGGCCTTCCTGGAAAGAATAACAGGGCACCACGCACGTCCCTTGTTATTGCAGACCGTGCCACGGTCCTTGGAAATGTGCCAGGCATAGGCTGTAATAGGTCTTATATAATTTAATTTAACAGTCATTAATCATTTGCTACGGCCCTGCAAGCTGCCGGGCTCCCCCATGAGATGCCATGTCCCCTGGTGCAAGGAGCAGCCCTGGCAGCAGGAGACCAGAAGGGAAATGGTGAAGGAGTCTTAGGGAGGAGAGCATTTGTGAGGGTTTGAAAAGCCCAGAGAGAAATAATCTGTGTGTTTGCGTCAATAGGGTCTCTGGAAGGAAAGCATTCAGATAATTCCTGCATTTTTGTGGAACCCAGTTTGTGCCAGGCAAAGTTGTATCCCTGAGATACTTGAGTACTTCATGCTCTGTAATTCATAAATATAAAAAAAATCCAACAGAGTAGATGCACTTAATGCAGAAGATAAATAAATGTACACTTTTTCTCACTGTACTCAAGGCGAGCTTACAGTTCTTGTCAAATATATGTTAACCTTTTGCCTTTAAATACCAGAGTTCTTGAATACGTAGTGGTCCTTTAAGAGGCTGGATTGTTGCATTAAAGAGTAACGGAAACAAATTTATAGTCTTTATGTCAGACACACTTTTTTGGGGGGAGAAAAATGTGGAAAGTGGAATGCCACAGGCCAGTGATTTAGAGATGAATCCTGAAAGCTGAGAGGACCAAGCACAGGCATTTGTGTCCGTCGTTACGTCAAAAAAAATACCCATTAATCATCTCATCTCCACAGCTTCCTCCTGCCCAGAAGGGCTGGGAGAAACTTTTTAATCGAGTCTCCTGGGATTTGGCTAACATACAGCTAATGACGTGATGTAACGCCTGACTTCATTAGTGCTGGTCTAACTTGCACACAGGCACACGCACACTGTTGGCAGCCTTCCCTTCGAGCCGTGGCCGTTTTGCAGTGATACATCCCGAGACCTCTGTTTCCATCTGGTTTCACAAGGAAGGAGGCTCCAGGCTGGCCAGCCCAAGGAGGTGCCATCTGACTCCCTCTCAGACCCTCCAAACAGCCGCAGGATTTGGACTGGGTGTTTTGGCACCAGAAAAACCCTATTGTGGATCCCTTGTGAAACTCCATCTCCTCGACGGGCTGCATGAGACATTGCAGGAGATGGCACCCACTCCTACCACCTCCAAGGTGAAGGGTGTTATTTTTAGGTGTCCCGAAGACCGCACTCAAATCAGTGCCAAAGCCTGACTTGGCTTCAATGGCCTTAGAAAAGTATGTTGTCTTCCCTCATGGGAGCTGGCAAGTAAAGAGCATCAGGAGTTACAATCCTAGTGAAGGTAGTGCAGCTGCAGTAAAACCGCATTTTGAAGCTTGAGGGTGCCATACAGAATTCATTTCAGTCTTTCATCCTGCATCACCTAGCAGAAGTCAACTGATCCAGTTATTTTTTTTCTTCATCAGCAAGGCTGAATTCATGAGAGTTAGAAAAAAATCTTCAAGCCCCTGCTTTGGCTCTAAGTGCAAGATTTAAACCTGTTTTTTCACTAATGAGACTCCAAAACAAGAGTTCGTTGTGTAAGTTCTGCCAGTAATTATGGAGGGAAAGGATCTGATGTTTCAGAGAATGAGACTTGGGACTTCAATGTACACAAGTAAGTAAAAGAACTTTAAAAAGGCAGTAAATTCACTGTTTAAAAAACCAAATTTGTGTACATACTACAGCAGTGAAATAATTATTTACACAAGTAACAGAGAAGTGTTGTCAATTCTGTTTTTGTAAAAGGAATCAGGGCTGTAACACAGGCGGTTCAGCTATTACTGCTCCTCCTTGCAACGAGTGATGTGTGAAGAGAAGGACTTCTGCAACAGGCTGGCGGGGCCACGGGGAGTCTCATGAGGATGATGCACAGCGAGGGAGAGGGACAAAAGCCGTGATTCCCCACTCGACCCCACAGACAAAAGTGAAATGCAGCCTGGGGTGCAGCTCCCCACCCCAGAAGGATTTCTCTTCCTTTAAATGCAGGCACTTCTCCTTTGGAGGAGGGAGATGCACTCAGTGTCCCTTCAAATGACACAACCAGGGTGTCAGTCAGATTTTTTCCTGCCTCCCATAAAGGTCCTCCTCCAGATTTGGGTCAGTGAGGATCTGGTGATGTTGGTGGGTGGCTGTAGGCGCAGAGCGGAGAGCATGCCTGCGCCCTATATTTAGCTGACCAGTGTAATGTGCTCAGTGCAGTTTGGGGATCCGGAGTCCCCCACGGTGAGTCACCATCCTCACAGTGGTCCCTGGGGAGCGTGGCTTTTGGATCACTGCTTTTGCTTGGGATATATTTAATTTCACATGTGTCCAAGTCATTGCCTTTGGCCTGGCCTCCTCGGTGTCATGCCTTCTGGAATATCACTTAACTCGTGTTCCCATTTCTCCCTCCATACCCACCTGCTGCTGCTGCAAACTTGTGCTGGTGGGCAATGCTATTTATCAGCTGCACCCCTGTTGGCTGAGGCACCCCACTTCTGGGATTGTGGCAATCACCAAACAAGGAGAACATGCAAGCATGATGCAGCTTTTGCTCTCCAAAAATAGCAGGAGAAAGTCAATGAATCATCTCTCTTCCACTGTCCCCAGGCTACAGGGATCCTCAGGACAGACTTGTCAACAGCATCTAGAGGCTTTTGCCCTGCAAGCCGCACCATTGCTTTTTGCAAACAGCATCAATAAGGGAATTCAAAGAACTCCGTGTCCCTCACTGAAGCAAGAAGATTGCTCCAAAGAGGAGCAGGAAGATCTCACCTTTCCTTTGACGCCCTCCCACTTAACAGAAGCATTTTACTAGTAAAAGGTCACTGACTTACGTTTGCAGGCGTCTGGGGCAGAGAAGGGCTTCCTGAGGTCCCGGTAGAAGCCCGGCTTGCAGCGCTGGCAGTGCTGCCCTTCCGTGTTGTGCTGACAGTTGTCGCAGACACCGCCGCTGCGATTGCCCGATGCCAGCCACGCATCCATGTCAAAATGACAAGTGTCCGCATGCCCATTACACTTGCACGCTGTGATGAAGCCAAAGAGAACAGAAGGACTCATTAAGGCAGTGAAAGATGTTGATTTATAGAAAAGAGAACCCAAAACACAAAAAACCCAAACCACATTTTGGAATGGGAGACCTGACCTATGAACCCGTTATTCATTCAAATGCATGAAGTATCATCACATTTTCATCCACACTTTCCAGCTTCTAGAGGTGACATTTAAGAAAAAATAATTTCTTGAACTCTTTCATTCCCAGTACAAGGGCAGCAATGTGGTGAGGCCGGCACAGGGAGACCTCCCACATTCACTGGTCCTGCTGGGGCTGAATCCTTCCCTCCCTGCTTTACAGATCAGTGGTGCCCCGTACATCGTCCACCACGCAGGTGCTGTCAGGATGCTCCTTGCAGGTGACGGAGGGAAAAGGCAGGTGGAGGGGAGGTGTGTGAGAGAGGGCGAACATCCCCCTTTCCCTGCACTGGCAGTGGAGGAAGTCTGGATGCCCACACGCCTGAAGTCGGGGGCCAAGTGAGATCTGTTCCAACCCCTGCACATCAAATATTGCTGGTGGAAACAGGGACTCACTGTCACTCCCTTGGGGAACATCCATACTGCAGCGAGGTGTGACTGCAGCCCACATCGGCAGGCTGATGCTAGCCTAAGTGCTGACAGCATGGTAGTCACAGCAGCATGGTGCTTAGCATGCCTGCAAACCTTCCTGGGGTGGTGCAGTTAATCCTCAGCGGCCTTCGGGCTAGACTGCTGCTGTTACCGAAGCAGATCACCTCACGACCTCTGTGGTCCCTTGCAGCCTTCACTCACCCCGAGCATCCCTCCCCCGGCACCGCAGAAGTAATCCTCAAACCTCCCCAGAGCCTGCAGCTCCTCCGGCGCGCAGTGTCGGGGGGGTGAGCAGAGCCCACGTCCAGCAGCAGAAGGCCGTACCTCCTGCAAACGTGTTTCTCAGCGGTGCCCATGGAGGGGACAATGCTGGCCCCCCATCACCTCCAAGGCACCCTGGCGGGCTGCAGTCTGCGCGTGACAGAAGACCATGTCTCAAGGAGATGCGCTTGAGTCCCACAGAAAGGCCACACCAACAGACAACACGGTCTTATGAGGATTTCCAAGCAAGGAGCTTTGTGAACAGGGCCATCCCCACCATACAGACATGTGGTGGGCACTGGGCAGGAGCGTGACATTGGCTCTGCACTTGCTGAGCAAACACCTGCCCATCGCCCCAGTATCTGCTGCCTCTTGGAATCACAGGAGAAAGGTGCACAAGGAGGAAACATTTTGCTCTGGCAGAGGCTCTGGAGACACTGTTCCCAGCTGGTTACTTACACTGACACTCTTTGGGGGCTCCGGTTTTCCCATCGGCAGCCTGCCAAGGCTGGTCGTTGTAGAGTGGGGCGCAGTGCTGGCAGTGGGACCCTGCTGTGTTGTGCTTGCACATGCATTTCCCATGGACCTAGTAGGGGAAAGAGAGCAAGGATCACCCACAACAAAGCCCAAAGAGTCTCTGGGGCATGAGCAATGCCCAGGTACAGGAGATACCACAGCAGCTAGATGCTATTATATAAACTAGAAAGAGGGCTAGCACGATGTCTGTTGTGGTATCTTGAACTAGACAAATATTCTGCAGTTACATTTTCAATTAGATTAGCATTTGTGGATCTGCATGTCATGGTACTGTATAATCACAGGGTTTTTTTGAAATCTAAAAGGATCTTTAGCAGAGAGTTTCCAGCTGCCACATGAATTTCCAGGAGAGATTAAAAAAAAGCCAAGATCCAAAGCATCCTTGGGACACACTGTAAAACCTTTCTCTTTTTCTCCTTCCCAAACACAAATACACCTTTGCAGCACTGCAGGAATAGCACTCACAACCTCAGCACTCAGCTCTGTGTGCCCAGCCATCAACAACATAAATAAGTACGAGAAAAAAAGAAATTCAAACACCCGAAACATGGGATCTACTCATCCTAGGCAGAGTTTTCGCCCCACAACGGAAGAACCAGGGATCGCACAAAGACTGTGAGTGACTATACTTGGATATCTTCATGACAGATAGGTAATTTAACAGCTAGACAGCCTAGTGTAAGCGGGTAATTAGAGATGAAAAGCCAGCGTAGCACACTCAGTGCCAGCTGCCCTGTCAGCTGCTGGCGTTACTCACGCTGTTGGCAAATGCAAATAAAACAGGACGTAGCCAGAGGACAAGAGCAGCCCAGCAGCCCCTAGATGCAATGAAATCAAGCTCTGAATCAGCATGGCTCTGCTGGCAAGGCTGAAGGCCCTGCCTTTATCTGTGGAGCCTGGTGGGCAGCTACCTACCATAGCTATTTTGGTGGCTTCCTGTGCTGGCAGCTTTACTCTACTTGCTGTTTTGCTTTTAAATACAGTTTTACTCAGAGCATTTCAGCTGCACGTCTCTCTGATGCATGGCCAGGCTCAAGGCACGACAGGCGTCCTGCATTTGCCAAAACATGGTGCCTCAGCACCCTGCTGCCCGTTCCTTCACCAGTTGCAGGGAAAGTGATAAAGGCAATAAACTGAGCATGGTTCAGCTTCTCTTGCTGCTCAGTAATGAGCCTGGAGACCTCAGCCTGCCCTGCCAGTGTGGCCTCACACTCATGCCACTGGTTGGCCATAAAACCAACGGAGCTGGAGGGGCTGCACCAGCCACCGGCTGCTTTCGACATTGGGAGCAACACGGGGCAGTCGGGGGTGCCTGGTGATCCGGCCCAGAGCTGGGGCATGGCTTTGCTACTGGAAAATGCTGCCTTCCACTCTGTTTAACTTGTGGGTTTTACAAGTGTGCTGTTCCTAACTGTATGACTTGCTGCTGAGACCTGCCACAAAAAAGGTTCCTGTGGAAAACCTGAACAGCAAACAAAACAGAAGAGGACCTTCAACATGTTGTAAACAGCTCCTGCTTGTTACGTAGGTGCACACTCACACTCCTGGCTAATGATGACTTTCTGATTTATTTATTTTTAATGAATATATTTCAGCTGCTCTCTCACAGGGGTCAGATGTAACCGGTACAGATAAAACTTCAAAAATGACCTTGAAAGTCCTTAAAAGACTTTTCATCAGCAATGCAAATAACAAAATCTTTCACAAACTTTTCAAGTGATCCTTTCCTGCCTTACTAGAATGTCTGGATCATCAAAGCAGGAATAAGCAAAATACAGTAAAGCAACTGGACTGCATAAGCAACGGACAGATACAGATGAAGTCAGACAGAATGCGCAAGCATCTAAGCTAAAGCACAAATACTAAGATAACATCGCTTTCTGTGCTATTTTGGCCTCATTGCAGATATCAGTTGGTCTCACCGCAGATACTAGTTGGTCTGTCTGGCTGATTGTATTGATATATGCTTTAATGTGTGCTAGTGTTTGAAAAGAATGAGAAGCAAATATAGAAAAGAAACAAAACAAATTTGCAGAGGAAATATTTAGTTCTCAAAGCGTATCTTGTGTTTTCATATTTTCATTTTTGCTACCACCTACGAAACGTTCTTCAAACTCTCAGAAGCCTCGCTTTCCTAAATCAACACTCTGCAGTAAAATTTCTCTCTCTCTTCTATATTTTTTAGGCAAAGTCCACACAGAAACCAATATTACAGAGCTACTTTACACACATTTAAAAGCATCCATCCACATGGAAACAGAAATTGGTTAAACTTGTATTAGTTGTATGGTTATCTTCTGGTGGTTTTGATGGAGCCCTAACTCTTTGATGCCATTTTTGATAGGGGTTTCTTGCAAGCCCTTTGGCCATTGAATGGTTAGCACTAAACACGCTGTAGTAGCCTGAACCACACCTGAGATGTGAAGAGAAGTAAGAGAAGCCAGAGAACTCCTTCAGCTTGTTCCTCACCAGGCAGTCCCAGCTGTTAGGGCAGAGGGACCCACCAGACCCAGAATGAGCATGATCAGGAGGGGAAGGCGACCTGAGGGAGCCAGAGGGTGCCATGGTCAAAACCAGGGGGTCCTTTGGTGCTTTGGTGATCACGGTGCCAAAATAAGAAGGATGTGGGAGAAGACTTGCAAACAGGGGTATGTCTCAGACACAGGGACTCTTGGGAGTACTGCAGGGACCCGTGCTCCCCCTGTCTGTGCCCGCAGCCTGCAGCCTCACCCGTCAAATTCAGCTCCCGCCTTGCCAAAGCTGCACAAAGAATCAGTGGGGACTTAATTAATCAGCCAGCGGCTGCTCAGCATTAATAATATACGACTCTGAAATTCAGCAGCACCTAAGAAATCCTCAAAGGATTAAGCATCCCAAGACACCAGCTGAGAGAGAGGCAAAACTCCCCATCGAGGAGCATTCACGGTCCCAAGGCGTAAGAGCCTGCATTTTCTGAAAGCCCAAGTACTGTATAAAAGAGCATGCCGCGTTGCCAGAATAGGGGGAGGTGCATGAAAATAAAACAGAAGAGAATGGGTATCCCAAGACCCTGATGTGTAGCCATTAATTTGGCACGCAGAGCTAATAAGTAAACTGCTGAAGAGCTGTGGGCCAAACTTCTTAATCTGTGTGTGAACTGTAAAGAAAGAGTTTTTTAAATCTTAAAAACCAATATCAAACCAAGCAAATCAAGCCAGCTGGTGTTTAGAGAGCCCCTGAGGCAGAGCAGGGCATGATGCTCCTCGTATTGATTGCTTGTAAATGTAGGATGCACCCAGGAGGGAAGGAAATGAACGGTCTGACTGAAAAGATTAAATAATAACAGAATAGTGCAATTCCGACTTCTGCATGACAGCAAGCTCAGGACCAGCACAGAGGGCTGTAGGTGTGGGCTTCCCAGCTGACTCAGCAGGGCTGGAAACCTGCTCCTGGGGCCAGTGCTGAGCACCTGGCAGGTGCTGCTGCAGCCTGGGTCAGGAGGAGCCATGCATTCCCAGTCCTTATCGCAAGCGTGCTGCTTTGCAGTCTCCTTTCCTCTACAGGTTATCACAACCAGATGTGTTATCATCTTCATCAGATGCTCCCTCCCAAGCCCAGATCCTGCCGTGGGTCCTGCATCCCCTCTGCAGGAGCTGCTCAGCTCGGTGCGGGTTGGGATGGCCATTCGGTGGCCCAGCCTGCCATGCACTCTTTGCAAACCCACGTGCCCCTGCTTGCCATGGGGCAGGGGAGTTGTAATCTCAGTGGGACTTGTGTCTGGGTGAACACCCATGCAGGCACAGGACGTGACGGCCCGGCTGGCGCTGCTTCTGCATCAGATGCAGCCGCTCAGGCTCTGGTCTTTGGGAGCAAGCTTTCGAAAAGGCAGCTGGGTTCCCAGTTCCCATGGTGCTGAGCCTTTACACTGGTGCTGCTCAAACAGGCTGGACGCCGAGACAACTCTGCCTCTGCGAGGTCCCCCAGGTCCCACGGTGGCCCTGATCCCTCTCAGCTAGGCAGAGCGGGGCGCAGTCCTGCTAATGAGCAAGCTAAACAGCTAAATGGCCCATCTCAGCCGAGTGAGGGGAGGGAAACAGGCTCTTTAATAACTTTTTTCTCAGTGCAACTGTTTAGTTAATACCTTTTTTCCCTTATTCCTTTTTTCCAGAAATGTAATGAAACTCAGACCTAAGTGCTTCAACAACCTTGCCTCAGGCTGATGTATTTATTCTTTTTCAACAGCATTATAACGATTACCCCCCAAAAGAGCTCTGCTTTAAACATCTCTCCATCCTAGTTTTATCCCATTGAAGAAAATATCTTTTTTCTTCTATGTAATTCCAGCATGACAGAAAAGATCTTTATGCATCGGAAACAACAAAAGAAGGTGAATATTAGCAAGCCCTTTGTTGCAGTCTGTAGGCAGACAGGTGTTTTTTTAGCTGAAAATAGGAGAAAGAAAGGACAAGAAGGAGGGGTAACAAGGAAAACAGAAGTGGCAGGCAAAAAACAGACAACAAACTGTCTACACTGGGTGAAATTAATGCCCTTGAGAGCTGTAGGAGGGCCAGATCCAAGCCGGCAATGCCCTGTAAATTCCCCGTTGTGCCGGGGAGCAGCTGGGAGCCGGGGCTGAGAAACCAGCCTGGCAGCTCTGCTGGAACCTACAGTAGAGCAGGGAAATGACGTACCCGGTCTCGGGGATTTCTCCAGCATCTCAGCACCTTTCTGAAGGCAGAATGTGACCCCCATGAATCGACAAGGGAAAGAAGATGGTTTTTCCTCCCTTTTCATTCACCTCAATTTACATTTAACTGTCAGGCCTACCCACTTCAGTCATTCTGGAGCATTGCTAAGTACACAAACACAATTCCCAGTACGTCTCACCGCTTTAAGCATTCACACAGCTCTTGACTCATTTAAGCGGCAGAGCCTTCTCATACCATTTTTCATTTTGTCATGGGGTCTTTACATCCCAGTTCACTTTCACACTGTTTCCCTTCTTAGCTCGACAGCCCTGTTGCAACGTCAGTCGTTAGAGGGCACAATGCAAACAGTGTTACAAAAGTT